GACGAAAGGAGTTTCTTTATTTTCGCCGAGGTGTGTGGGTTTGGTGGGAAAGCGTCCTGAAGGCGATTTCAAAAAGTAATGGGGAACTCAAAATGATCTCATTTTTCCATTTCCCAGTGGGAACCTCGAAATGGCCTCATCACAGAAGGAACCCTGCCAGCTCTCACCCATCCTTGCGAAGATGCAAACAGCTTAGATACAGACGATAAAGCATCTAATGGATCGATAGTTTCAACCTCTTCACCCTCCGAGCATTTTAGAAACCTCAAGTGAGCTGGCCAAACTGATGGGTATTATTTTTTTCCCCTTTTCCTTTATTTCTTTACCCCCCAAGATAAGATAGAAGAGGTCAAAGGACAAGCAGGCAGGCAGGCCTGGGAAGACAGGGCCCGAGGAAGGCAGGCCATTCTTATACTGAGTGTTCACTGTTTACGAGGGATGCAGATGGAGCTAGAGAGGCTGACATGGTATGGCTGACACCGTAGCAGAGTTTGGTGGTCCAATTCGGCTGATGATAAAACACCGCAGAAAAGAACACACGACTCTGGACGGGTGATTGCTGAACTAGAGCAGAGCTCAATTCAGCCTTCCTCCCATGTGAGCTGAGCTGGAAACAGCCTCCTCTACTGGGGCCTTTATGAATTATAGAATTCCAAGCAGAGAGGTTTCAGGAAATCAAGCAACAAGTTCTAAACAATTTTATCTAATAGAATATGTAAGGTAATATAAGGTAAGCCCCAAAATAACATATTTCCAAAATACGTCAAGAAGAGATTCACATCCCCAAACCCCTAAAGGGCTGCTCCCATAGAAGAGACGGAAGGAGGCACCCTCCCTAGACAGCAGCTCCTTCTGCCAATTTTATGACATCTTTACCTTCTTCTCCCACAGGCCCAAAATGAGGAAGCTGTAAAAACCCTAGCCAAACACCACCATTTGCCAAGAGAAAGCCAACCTGGGGCCCATCTGTCCTTCCCAGGGCTCTGCTCATCTTGCCTTTGTGTGGTTGTCTACCCAGAGTGTCCCACTGACCAAACTGCAACCCATCCTTCGTCATCACAGCCATATTGTTATCAGCACAAGGAGCAAGGGCAGGGCCTAGCAAAAGCCCTCTACACAGGAGGCCTCAACCAGGACCTAAGAAGCAATCCCTCTTGCTACAGGAATCCACAACAGCTAAAAGGGCAGCCCTGAAGTCACCACACAGCAGTAGACCCCATTGTCACCTCATGGTAAGTGAGGGGAAATAGTCCCCACGTGCCTCTGAACCACAGAAGATTCCCATGGAATTCAAGATGTCCCTTGAGCATCTCTAATCTTAGACAGAGCCTCAGACAGGGGATCCTGGTGGCAGGCAGAGGTGGGGGCAGCCGGGAGAAACTGAACAAGGCCCCTATTCTGCTCGGCACAGGTGCCGGTAACAGGACACCCGGGCCTAAAGCAACACATGGAAGGGCGCATCCAGGTGCAGTTGGGTATTTTTCAGCCTAGCCATATTATATAAACCTGAACCCAGGGCAAAGTTCTCCCCGCAACAGGGCCAACTAGGCTACTAGCATCCTGGTGCTTGAGCAGCAAGGACAAGGAAATATTTGATTCTAGCATCCAACTTAAAAAAAAAAGTTAATTATTAAAAGAAGACCACTATTTATTCCCAGAAGGTCAGATACTCTCAAATTTGGCTTGCAAAGTTTCTGGAACTTAGCAACTACCGGAACATGATTAATGATTCAAAACAAACAACACTAATCTGTTTACCTAACCAAGGGCCAATTCTGCGCAGAACTTGCGTAGAAAAAAAAAAAAAATATATATATATATATATATATATATATATATATAGTCTAGGACCTTCTTGGCAGTCAGCAGTCACCTCCAGACCACTGTCCCATAGATAAACCAACCACAGCCCCTCCAAGAAGCAACACAAAAAAACTGAGTTCCCTTTCCTTTCCGGGCTAACTCCCACCAGGCAGCTCCAAGGGTGATTTACATGGATCCCAGGGAAGACGGCCCATAAGTGATTTCACACACCGCCATTCATTAGTGACCACCGCCATGGCAGGGAGGAAGGAAGGGGAAAAAACAGAGGTTTCCTCTCATCAAGGAATCAATAAGTTTTTGAGCAGCTGCTGCCTGCTTTCTTGGAGCTCAATCCCAGTGGAAGCAAAGTGAGGATTTCTTCTCCCCCCACCCCTGAAAAGGATAAACACCCAGCCCCGACAGCCCAGGACTCAGCCCAATGGAGACTCCGCAGAAAGCAAAGAATTGGCCCAAGCTTTCCCGTGTCTTGAGGGTCTTTACTTTTAGACGGGTGGCACCAGGCCAGTGGAATAAGAAATTATTCCACTTTCCGTTATCTTTTTATTTTCTCCCAAAGGAAATTGACGCCCTTCCTGTGTTGCTGTACAATTATGAAGTCTCAAATGTTAAAAAAAAAAAAAAAAAAAACACGGTCTTAGCCTTTTGCTCACCCCAGTTCAATATTACTTAAAAAAAAAAAAAAAACTAAAAATGGTTCCAAGATGACAATCCAACTGTCTTCTCCCTCAAAGCAAACAAACAGGGAAAAATATAATAAACTGGTCATAAGTTCAAAGACAATAAGGACAAGGTCATCAGAATGACAGCTGGCATTAAAAGCTGACTTTCTTGCTGATGCCACATGCCCACATATCATACGCCGCTTAGCCAATAGAGTCCAGTTTCATCTTGTTACTCTTGAAGTGTCATTGCTGACCAACCCATAAAGACGTCCTCTAAAGAAAACTCAATGAAAATATATAGCCGTTCCCTTACGCATAAACAATCTTAGGAAGAAATTAGACAACCTGCGTTGATTACTGACCCCCCTCTACTTCCCCAAAGTCTACAATTGTTCAGGATCCAAAGCACAATGTAATCTTCCACTGTACCTTGAGATGAAAATATTGTGTGTGGGGGGGGGGGAATGTTTACCCACGGGATAGTGAGCAAACCTATCAAAGACAGAGAGAAAGGAACTAGAGTCAACACCAAGGAAGCAGTACATAAGAGGTTTTCCAACAACTGGTCTTGGGGAAGCCACCTTAAGCACCTACAAATGTCTAGGCAGAGCCCACACCAGGCAGCCAGATGGCAGGTGGAAGGTGCAGAGTCATTGGAGCAGGAAGGGCTTGAGGTTCAAACCACCTCCTGAAAAGAACTGAACCTTGGCTCTGGATTTTAAAAAACAAACAAACAAAAACAAAGCGAAAACTCCAGGTGTGATTACTCAGGGCCTGAAGTCAGTAATCAGTTTAGATCCCTGAATTCCTTGTTTCTATTCAGGGACTGGAAACATTATCTCCTCCAACAAAACACAGGCTGATTTACCAACCCATCTCAAAAACCTCTTCTGCACACCACAACATACAGTGTGTGCCTCAAACCGAATCTTGTTTGGACTGTATTAAGGTGGGTGAAATTTAAGTTAACAATAAATACCAGAGTTCAAGGAGTGGACATCAACCTTTGTTCTAAAGAACACTTGGATAATTCAATGTGGATCGAGGGCAAAGGAATGAAAGGGCTGTCTTTGAAGAGACTAATCCATCTAATTCCAAGCGACTGGATTAGAGGCATTCCTAAACGAGCAGGCTCTGGCTCCAGATTAGGCTACACGGATTTCTGACAAAAGGCACGAGCTTGGTAGGATTGCAAACCAGACTCTGAGCAGGACGAGGCACCTTGGCAAAGTTCACCCTGGGCGAGGTGGCAGTTGGTTCTAAAAGGAGGAGGCAGGCATGACAGCTGAGCATTCCTCCCCAAAGTCCATGTTGGAGGCCCAAGGGCTCTCCGAACCTTACAGTTCATCAGACAAAAGCTTGCCCAGGCGCCAGGCAGCGGCTGAAGAGGGGCTGTCCACACCCACTCGCCAACACAGCTTTCCAAACCTGCCCACTCTTTTGGAAGCCGAGCTTTTAATTAAACACCACCTCCCCGGATCTGTTGAGGCAGACTGGGCCTGGCCTCGAGCCAAAGAGAAGCTCCCTAAATACACTTGGGAAAAAAAAAAATCCCCCCTGTCGCCCCCAATTCCCACCTCCAGCCAGCTCCTTAAGCAGGTTCTATTTTATTAGTGTGAGTAACAGAAGTCCTGGTGTATGTAGCTCGGTGCACCAGAAAACCCACATTCGAGGATCAGGTTATCTCCAGTCCCACCCTTTGCAGGAAAAAGCCAGGGTGTTGTTCCCCGCCCCCAACACACACGCACGCACACACACGCACACACAATTCTTCCGAGAGAAGAGTGGGGTATGGGTGTGTGTTTGAGGGAGCTGGGGTATAGTTGTTTGGGAAACCTCAACCTTGTCTTCCCTCTGTGAGCCTCTCAGTTTAGAGGTCCGTCAAAAGACTACCCTTGGAACTTCAAGCACCGTGGCCCGGGGGAGGGTGCGGGGAAGGCACGGCACACCCTCAGCAGCTCTAGAACAGACTAATTAATAACTAATTTGCTCAGATTCCCCTACTTCAGGTAGACCTAAAAGCCAAGCCTGTAACAAGCCTGCCACCCAATCTTCCAGGCCGGGAGAGTCCTTCCCGCAGCCAAGCAGAGCCCCCACTCCCGATCTACCACCGCGCCAAGCACCCCACCCCGAACCCAAGGAGTCAGGTGTCCGCCCGGGCGTCCAGCTTACACGGGTCGCAGACACTCAGTCCAGGGACAGACAATGGAAAACTTAGAACTAGGGCCCTAAGCCCCCAAAGAAACAAGATGGTGTCGCCCCCTGGGATAAGGAACGCAGAGGTTGGCAAGGGGCATCAGACTCTCCCCCCACACACAAACACACAACCCCGGGAAGTCGCCTGCCCGGTGACCCAGCACAGCCGGAGCAGCGCGGCGGGTGAGCAGGTGACACCCGGGCCGCCGGAGCTCCCGCAGGTGGCCAACAGCCACGGTGCAGGCGAGGGCCCGGCGGGCCGAGGTGGAGGGGAAGCCCCGCAGGGAGGTCAGAGCAGCCGCGCCCCCGGCGTCCTACCTTCATATCGCTGATGATGGTCTGGAAGAGGCCTCCAAGCGCGCTGCATTCCTTCTCGATCACAGCCTCCATTTTCCCGGCGCGGCGGGGACAGGACCAGCTCTCGGGGCCGCTGCACTGCGCACGGGGCCGGGCTCGCTCAGCCCGGGAGCGGTTTCACCCTGGGAGCGACTCGCCTCCGGCTCGCCGCCGGTTTTGCAGAGAGCACGCGGTGCTCGCGATCCACTGCGCTCTGCCCCCCAAGTCACAATCCGAAACGCCCAGCCGCTTTGGAGGGCGAGTCGCTTACGTGCAGCGCTCGGTTCCTGGCCTCAAAAATGCCCGGAGAGGACTGACAATCAAGCCACCACGGGTGCCCACGACGGAAACGGCAAAGCCCATCTTGGTGCAAAGAAATCCGCCCGCTGACCCGGGGCCAGCGCCATTTAAAAAAAGAAAGAAAGGTTGTTGGGTGGTTTTTAGGGTTTTTTTTCCCAAATGTAATTTTTCTCTGAAATTCAAAAATAGAGAACGAAATGGGTCAGCGGCAGACGAGGTCAGCTCGCGGCGCCCGGATCTGTTGCTCGCAGACGCGGCCGCCGCCTCCTTTTCACTCGTGCGCGCCCAACCCCGCGCTCGCTCTGGCGAAGCTCCCGGGGACGTTCGTGAGGCGCACGCGCGCTCGCGGCCGTGCGTCTAGCGCGGGAGCGCGGGGGAGGCGCGCGCTCGCGGCCTGTGCGTGCGCCGCCCGAGGGCGGGGCTGGGAGCGTGCGCCGGCGGGGAGCGGTGTGGGGCGCCTGCTGCTGGGAGGAGCTGGTGGGAGAGTAGGCGAGCCCGGTGTGCGTACCCCGGACGCTCCGAGCGCCTCGCGTTGGGGGTCTCAGCGTCGGCAAGGCTACTCTGCGCCCAGCCGCCCACAATGGCCGCTAGCGTGCGGTGAAGCTGGCCCCGCCCCTCGGAGGACCTGCAAGGTCGGCACAAGTCTAGAGCCCCGCACCTGGTGAGCGCCCGGCGGGGCGGGAAATCTGCTGCTGCTGTTGCTGCTGCAGCCTGAGGAGGAGAGGCCTCTTCGGTGATGTCAGGACTGCAACGCCGAGTCACGATTGCAGAGAGCCAGCAACGAGATTAAGGAGGGTTCGGGGAGAGTATCCTGCAGTGGGATGCTGAGTTCGATAAAGTTGCAGGAATGCTGGATTGATCTGCTGTGGCGGAGTAAATGCAAAGTGCATCAGGGGGTTCCTATCGCCTCCTCATCTGTCTGTAGAGATCACTGGCTGCGTGTGACTTGAATGTTGATGGTTTTCAAGCCAATGTTGCCATAACTGCAGAAAGCACCTTGAGAGGTTTAACACATGGCACCAAAGACTGAGGTGGACTTGGGGCCTGGCGATTGTGTCCCTAGGTCCACTTCAGGGGCGCACATTCTGCCGTCTCCGGTGTCTGATATAGGGGATCAACTTGTAAGCTAACTTAAAGCACCTACCTGAACTTTGACCCTTAAGCGTTTGGAGAACAGGAGTAAATGGAGCCCGTGTTGAGCTTGACCGAAAGAATCTTGAGTCAAATGCTGCGGTTCCATCGACTCGGTTTAGCACTCTATCTCAACCAAAAAACACTCATGTTCTCGTTTTCCGCCAGGTCACTTTGCTCAACTCAGGTGCCCTACCCAATCTCCCTGATTCAGAAGGAGAGGCCTAACCTGTAAAGTCACCGGAGTGTTAGGCAACCTTGCCGCGCCCCCCCCCCAGGACATTCAGTTGCAAATGTCTCATCCTCACCGGTATTAGTGATGTTAATGTTACCGGTATTATAATGAGCCAGAGGACTGGAATGCCCAACTACCTGGGTCCCTTGGCCTTGAAAATGTTACCTAAGCCCACGGGGCCTCAGTTTGAAGTGACTGGACGGACACTTACCTGATTAGCTGTTCTCAGCACTGTAGGGGCTAATAAATGAAAACACTTAGAGTAGTAGCTGAAATATGGGAAGTGAACACTCAGGAAATCCTCAATAAAAGTAGAAACCCGGCCAAGGCTCACATATAATCTGTTTCGAGAGCACCTACTGCAAGCCTGCAGTGTTGGCACAGTGTCCCAGTGACTGCAGAGGGCCTGCCTTGTGCATTCTGCGTTCTAGGCAGTGCGTCTCACTCAAGGTCCTTATTTCACTGATGGAAGAAGTCTGACCTGGTTTTCTGCTGAAACCCTGTCTTAACCCAAACAATATCCCTCAACTGCCTCCCACCCACCTTGGTCCAACCTTAGCAGTGTGTGTGTGTGTGTGTGTGTGTGTGTGTGTGTGTGTCTGTGAACGGGTGCGTGTACAAGCGAATTTGGAGAATGGGAAGGGCATGGTCAGCAGAGGGCCAACCTCAGGTATTCTTCAGGCTATATACTTTTCTTGAGACATGTTGTCTCATAGGCCTCAAATTCTCCAAGTAAGCGAGGCTGGCCAGGCCAGTGAGCCCCAGAGATCTGCCTGTCTCTCCCTCCTCCGTGCTGAAATTCCAAAGACATCAAATAACACTTCGCACTTTTCCTGTGTGTTCTTGGGATCTAACTCCAGTCCCCTGGCCTACAGGGGAAGCACCTTCCTGACAGCTGTCTCCCAGACACAACTCTGTTATCTTTCTCTCACTTTTTTTTTTCCAGTGCTAGGAATTGAACCCAGGTCGTTGTAGGATGTAACAGTTTGTAACGACCTGTAAGAGAAGGAATAATCTGAGGAATTTCAACCCCTCTGGTCAAGAGTAAACAGGCTCAGAATGTGCACTCTCTGTTCTAACTCTTGACCTCTGGCCGATAGGCTATTTGATCTGTGGAGTCAGCCTGTTTCCTCAGAGTTCTCCAATCACTGGCTATTCCAAGGACAGGCATGAGCATTTATATCTAATATTTAATACTGCTACACGTGAGAGTTTGCATCCCAGCCTTGACCCTCAGAACTGGCCCTCTAGGAGGGTCTGTCCAGCTGGTCCTCAAACTGTACTGTATACTCAAAGCTACTGAGGGAATTTTAAGCCGCCAGAGACAGAACTCTGATTTAATTGGTCTGAGCTATGATCTGACCCTTAGGACTTTTCAAAACCCCCAGGGTTATTCTTCCCCTGCCACAACCACCCTCCCACCACCCACTCCACCCCCACCCTGAGATAGGGTTTCCCTGTGCAGCTGGGCAGCTTTGGCTATCCTGGGTCTCATGCTACAGACCAGGCTGTCCTTGAACTCCAGAGTGTTGAGATTAAAGGCCTGTGCCAACATTGCCTAGCCCGGGGTATTTTAATAGGTGGTAAAGTTAAGAAACCTTATCTGGGGCCAGGAGAGGGGGGACGACTTTAAAAGGAGGTACAGATACCCATGACTTCTTAGGAATTCAGGAACTAGGCTCTGATTTTTTTTTTTTATTTAGTTTTTCGAGACAGGGTTTCTCTGTGGTTTTGGAGCCTGTCCTGGAACTAGCTCTTGTAGACCAGGCTGGCCTTGAACTCAGAGATCTGCCTGCTTCTGCCTCCCTAGTGCTGGGATTAAAAGCATGTGCCACCACCGCCCTGCGGATTTTTTTTTTAAACTCACCATGAACATTTCATTCTGTCCTCCTTATAATATACAAGAGGGGGTTGGATTTTGTCATTGTTTATTTCTCAAAAATAGGATAGCATTAAACACATTTTTTTCTGAATCTTGCTACTAACGTTCAATTTCTGCAGAAATCCTTCTAGGTCAACCCTTCGCTGTGAAGGGTTTTTGTTTGAGAGGCAGGTGTGCAAGCTGGTTAAGAAAGTAGCAGAAAGTGACACAGTCGGGTTAGATTTTGACCCTGTCACCTCACAGCTCACTCCCTTGTGCTGGTTCTTGCACTAGCCAGCCGCCACCCCCTCACGTGTGTGGTGTGTATGTTGGGTGCCAGTCTGTGCAGATTCTTGTGGAGGCCTGCAGATAAACTCAGGTGTGGTACCTGAGGTGCCATCCATCTTCAGTTGTTTTGTTTGTTTTACATTGTTTTAAGAGTATGAGTGTCTACATACATGTCTGTGTGACAAAACTTATCCAGGGAAGACATAGTAGTACACACGTCTACTCACCCCAAATAAGGATCCCACAACAAACCAAAGAACAGATACCACTAAAGCTCAGTTTAGTAAACCAATGAGTTTTATTGGGGTTACTTATAACAGTATGGGTGAGGGGTTATTTACAGCAGAAATGACTCAAAGACAGCTGTCTCACCAATGTCCACTCCAGCACGGGTGACAACTCACAAAGCTGAAAAACTGGAGCACACTGCTCAGCCTGCAGGCAGCTTAACGGGTTGGAGAGTCTTCTTGCCTGCCGCGTGCCTCCGTTGATCTGAGCCTCTTCCAGGCAGCTCAGCCGGTTTCTGCTTCTTCCTGGCAGCTGCTCCAGTCTGAGAGTCTTCTTTACAGCTTAGCTTTTTTGGCCTGAGACTACTCTCTGCTTACTCTGGCAGGAACTGGCCTAATGAATCTAGTCAGTTTCAGGGACTTCCTGAAGCTATTTTATTTATCTTCCTATTTTAAGGAGCCCCCCCTGCAGGATGGAATGCTTCAATCTCTGAAACTGTTACACAGCAACAGTGTGTGTGTGTGTGTGTGTGTGTGTGCGCGCGCGCGCAGGTGCACGCTAGCACGCACACATACAAACACACACATAGACACAGGCACACGCGCATGCCAGGTACCCCTGAAAGCAGGAAGAGGCCATGGGGGCTCTCTGGAGCTGGAGTTACAGGAATTGCGAACTGCCATGTGGGTGCTGGTAACCAAACTTGGGTCCTTAAGAGCTCTTAGCCACTGAGCCCTCTCTTCAGTCTCGTGCCTTGTTTTTTGACTCATGCCTTTTCACTTCCCTGGTACTCACCAAGTAGGCTTATCTAGCTGGCCAGTAAGCCCCAGGCATTCACCTGTATCTGCCTTCCTAGTACTGGGGTTACAAGCATGTGCCACATGAGATTTTCCTCATGGGTTCTGACAATCACACTCGGGCTTGCAAAGCAAGCACTTTACCTACTAAGCTGTCTCCTCAGCCTTCAGTGACTCCATTTCCACATCTTTAAAATCAAGATAATAGGCAGGGCAGAGTGGTACACGCCTTTAGTCCCAGCATTAGGGAGGGGCAGACTGATGTCTGTGAGTTTGAAGCCAGCCTGGTCTACATAGTGAGTTCCAGGACAGCCATTTCTATATGGTAAGCCCCTGTCTCAACAAAAATCAGTAAAAATAAAATAGAGATAATAGACATATTGGGTCAGCATTGAATGGAATGCCTTAGACTAGGACTTGGCACAGTGGCTACTCACTAAAGATTAGCTTGTTGGGCTGGTAAAATGATTCAGTGGATAAGGTCACTTGCCAAGCCTGGTGACCTGAGCTTGATCCCAGGGTCCAACACAGTGGAGGGAGAAAACCAACTCCTAGACACGGTCATATCCATATACACTGAATAAATAAAAACAAAGATTACATTGTCACTGTGGCTCACGTATAAGTTGGTTTAAGCTTACCCTGATGACCTATACACAGAGTTCTTTATGAGCCAACAGTCACTAAATCCCTTAGATGACAGGGGAGTTCCCAGTATATGAAAGGTTTGAGTTAGAAACAGACCCATGTTGAAAATGAAATTAGCAAAAACCTGTTCAAAATATCTCCCATAATGACTCACCCTAAGAGATGTTTTGCATGTATTTTGGGGATGGTGGCCTAGGAAATGCACCAGTCTAACACATGAGTAGAGCATGTGTCATTGAGGCAGGAAGCTAACCAAAGGGGCTGATAGATTCGTGGCAGGCTGAAATAACGTTGGAACATCCACAGGCCTGCAAGCCCATGCTTAGGCATTGGGTGGAAGCCTGCTTCTGGATTCAGCTCCCCAGAGCCAAACAGAGGCAGAAATATGAGCTCTTAATGTCATTTTACAGTGACTAAAACTTAGCACCTTGGTATCCCGTTTTCCAACTCATAAATCTC